GGTACAAGTGTGTGAATAAATAAGAAACAGCTATGTGTGTCTTAAAAAAACATTTTGTATGCAGAACTACTTCCTTCCACCATGGACTTAAATCCAACAGCTGTGCCCATGCCTCTATTACTAATTTGAAAATGTCACAGTAATGAAGGCACGTAAAGTTGCTTCATTGAAAGCTTATTGTATTACTGTATCAAAAGTAGTAAATTCAACAAAAAAAAATTCAAAGTAGGGCTGCACGATAAATCGTATGCGATATTTAATGTGCATCTTGTCAGTAAAGCCGGTTCTGTAATCAGCGGTAAATCTCCATCACGTGCGTGCTTTCACATGGAGCAGCATTTACTATACAGAGCCATTGTTCACTGACAAGCTGCGCAAAACCACATTCATATATGATCGTGGTTTTGCGCAGCTTGTCAGTGAACAATGGTTCTGTGTAATAAATGCTGCTCCAAGATGCACATTAAATATCGCATGCGATTTATCGTGCAGCCCTAATTAAAAGCTTACTGTAATATGTAGAGTGTTATAAGAGAGAGATGTGCATTTGTGACCTGCATCTGATACAGCGTTCATTCTTCAGCTCAATCTTATATTCACAATAAAACATTAGTTTGAATATGAGAAAATCAATATCTTTGTCATAGTATCCTTTCATCTGTTAAGGGTGATTTCCAAAAACAACGTTGCTCAGTCCATTTGTTGATTGCGACTTACAAGGTGTTGTTGACAGTGCCAGCGCGTAGAGTTGTGGGGCCCTAAGCAAGATAATGAAAATGGGCCCTACTATTGTAACTGTTTGTTGGATGTCTATGGAAGCAGCAATAATAATCCATTCAAATATAATGTGCCGATGTTATTCATATCAGATAAACATAGTGTAAGTAACTATAAAGTTCACTCTATTCTTCTCCCAGTTCATTGACCACTTATTTACATGTATTTTGGGAGAAATTGTTTAATTCACGTGCTGTAAATCCAACTGAAAGGACTCTCTAAACTGCAGTGCGAACAAACATGGCGGCGCCCATCTCACGTTATAGATAACGATCAAGATCATAAAGGTTTTTAAACAACAAAATGTACTGACTTACACATATTTGTGAATCTTAATATCAGATAGTTGATGACATGGTAAGCAAGTTTGTGAATATTTTGAATTAAAAAAAAGAAAAAAAGAAAATGAAAGTGATACATCTGTCACAGAGTGTTTCGTGGCTGCGGTGTGTCACGTGACAAGCATGACGTGTCACCATGGAAACAATAAGGGGAAATGTTTTAAAATAACAGTCGCCTTAAAAATACTCACTCTGGGGGGAACGCTAGAATATTTTAAACTCACCAGTGAAAGGGTTAAGTGTAAATAGTAAGTAAATAGTAATACGAGAAGTATACATAAAAGCTAAATAAAACAAACCAAATAAACATACAAATATGCAAAAATGACAATAAATGCGGGCAATTCTACTTGTTTTTAAGTCCTGATTGATGGTCACAAATAAAAAACTTTATTGCATTAGACACTGGATCCGGGTCTAATAAACATGCTTTTAGTCCCAGTGTCTTCATATGAGGACATGTATGAAATCAACATCCTGTTTCGTAACAGAAAGTCATATTTTGATTTGAAACCCCATAACATTGTCCTGAGATGTTGATTAATGACAGACAGTTTAAAAATTAGATCAATTTAAATGATAATTACAAAATATTATCATATTTCCATAAGAGTGTAACTAAATTAATATCAGACATATTTGAAGACCAAGGAGAGGGAGTGGTCATGGTGAAACATCCAAAGATTTAGTATCTCTGAAAAGCCCTGAATGTGCTCTGTATAGGACATCCAGACTTTGTATAGTCTCAGAGAAATTCACCAAAATAGAATGTCCTCATATGAGGTCACAGGGCCTCAGGAAGTTAAACATGTTTATTAGATGTACACAAATAGATGCTTTCCTGATTAAATGTTCTTTAGCAGACTTGACATGTATTATATAAATATAACTGAAGGAAGTTAATGAACATCTTGAAGTAAGAAAATAGACAGAAAAAAACAGAAGGAGAGAATTGCTTTAACAGTCCACAGTATACATTTTTTTTATAGCATTTTTAGAGCTATTTAAAGCGGTCATATGATGCTGCTAAAAATAACATTATTTTGTGTATTTGGTGTAATGAAATGTATTTATGTGGTTTAAGGTTAAAAAAAACATTATTTTCCACATACTGTACATTATTATTTCTCCTCTATGCCCTGCCTTTCTGAAATGCACCGATTTTTACAAAGCTCATCGGTCTGAAAAGCGAGGTGTGCTCTGAATGGCCAGCTATCCAGAGCGTTGTGATTGGCTGAATACCTCAAGAGTGTGACGGAAATGTTACCATATTGTGATGCCCTGTCCGGCCGGAGCAACGAGACATAAACATGAAAACCCATTATAAACGAGGCATTTGTTGCATCCAGTGGGGACATAATTACAGATTATAATGACTTATACTGTGTTTTTACGCGTTGCATCGCACCGTGTAAACATAAAACCATGTCTGCATTTGTGATCGGAGAAATGACAAACAACAAGTGCTACTCTACACTGCTCAAAACTCGCATTTGAATCATCAGTGGCAAATTCTTTAAATATAAAAAAACTTACTTACAGTCTGTGAGTCAGAACAGACGGCATTGTAGTCTACTCTCCCAGGATCAGGAAACAATCCTTCATAAAATGCGCTGGACACATCTGAATATTTGGGTTTCACTTTTCTGGAACAGTGTTGTAAATACAATTTAACCACTGATTTCTAGTCGTGTCCTCTTTTGGAAGGCCAAACAAATAGTTTCGCTTTCACAACGAAACAGCGTCACACACCGCGGCCTTGAGTGAGCGGAGGCCGGAGGCCTAGAGTGAGATTCGACGAAGGAGCGTCCGGCGGGCTTGCGACAACCACATGTGACGACCCCGGGCTGGACTCCGCTTCGTCCATGGTGAAAGCCGATCCGGCGATCCACAGCGCAAAGTTGATGTATTTCCTCAGTGACCAGCACGGATCAGCTCTAGGCATGACAAAGCAGATATCGTCCTCTTTTGGAAGGCCAAACAAAGTAGTTTCGCTTTCACAAGGAAACACACAGCGCCTTCACGACATGGCGGCAGCGGCAACAACAATACTACAGCAAGAATAAAAGTTATGCCTTCTTTCTTTGCGTGAACATTTGGCCGGCGTTATGCAAATCTTCCCACATTGTGACGTAGGCATGTGGGAGCGTGTTGGAACGAGCCGTATTAGGTAGACGTGGTTGACTCTTAACTTTTATAAAGAATATCTCTTGGGATTTGAGACTCTTGTCTTTGCAACTTTACAGATCTTCTTTATGCACCAATAGCTTGTAACACTCCAAAGAAAAAGGAAACATTTAAATCACATCATATGACCCCTTTAAAAATTCACTTTGTAATTTGCTTTTTTCCCGTTTACTTACATCAAATTGAAATACAGGAGTTCAAACCACTGTGCCATTTAAAATAATATTGTTGAGGCTGAAATTTAAAGCCTTACCTCCAGTCTAAACTCATTCTCAAACACCGAATGAAAGTGTAAAATGTTTTTAATGTATTTTTAACAACAAATACCCCAGTGACTATTGATGTGCTGTCTCTAAAGAATTTATCTTGCTTAAATTTCTGAGGCCATGCTGTTGTGAAACCATTCTGTATTCCCACCTCTCGTTCTCTCTTACTATCTTCTCTTTTCTTCACTTTCTCTCATTCTCTAACTCTCCCACTGTGCCTTAAAAGCCCTTTGTGCTTTGTGCTGTTAATTCTTACAGCTCTTAAAATCCAGAGTAACCATTTATCATTGATAGAACCTAGCAGGCTAGGGCAGACAAAGCCTTGCCTTGAGTAATCTCGAATTGTCATCAGAACAACTATTGTTCCCTTGATGTTGCCTTGTTCTGTGTCAAGGGTAAACTAGATCATATATGAGAAGAGCAAAATAATCTTCTATCCCCTTACACTGGAAGTACCATTCATAAACTCTCATGGTAGCAATAAAATAGTGCCACACTTTTGGCATCAAATCCTGTGGCAAATGCCAATGAACATTGATATACAGTTTATAAATAGTATAAGAAAGGTTATGCCTGTTACTTTACATGACTTTAAAATCCTATTTAGTCACATGAAGACAATTCCAGTGGTAAGACAATATATAACAGCTGATTCATTTTGAAAAAAATATTATTCACATTTTCGCGTATCCAATAGGGTTTATAAGCAGCACAGTTATGTCAGGAAACATACTTCAAAAAATGCAGGTACCAGAGAGAGGAACACTGAGTCACAAATGTTATGTATCAAAGTTACTGTATAAGCCTGGCCATAACACTAAAATATACTGCCATGATTCCATTCCCAGAATCTCTTGCCATATCTCAGCATCTGGCAGTAGGCAAGTGTGGAAAGCTCAAACTGTTTTATTTTTTCAATTGTTAATAATACCATTACTTAGAATGCTGGCCGATTACAAGCTCCTTGGAAGTGGTGCTTATTTTTGCTCCTGGAGCAATACCGCTCTTTCAAGATGGAAACTTCCCACATCCCATGGTTTCGGCTTAGCAAAATGAATGAATGAATGAATGACAATAATAATATTAAACAAATAAACAAGCCAGACCAGTTATGATATGTTGAGATTTACACCATTCCAAACTTGTGTGCCTGAAGGCAAATATAAGTTAACAAACACATTTTAGTTGACACCATTTTCTTGATAAAGTATGCCTTCATTAATATTTAATCTAGTTCTCTAAACTCCAATTAACATAAAGCTCAGGCAATACTGATGTGCATCGTGCCTAATAAATTTGGCGATATTTCCTTATCCTTACTCTACCCATCACCTGTATCTTCCTATATACTATGCTGATATTATATATATATTTATTTATTTATATTTATTTATTTATTTATTTATCTTTTCTCTGAAATGACCTCTAGGATGCTGCAGGCAAGGTTCTGGACAGATGGACTATAATGTCTCGGGAAGAGGAGATCATCACTCTTCAACAGTTTCTGCGCTTTGGTGAAACCAAGTCTATTGTGGAATTGATGGCCATCCAGGAAAAGGAGGGTCAGGCAGTCACAGTGCCCTCGTCAAAGACTGACACTGGAATCAGAAATTTTATTGAAAGCAACAATCGCACACGCAGTCCTGGCCTTCTGTCACACCTAGAAAACAACAGCCCCTCTAGCATTCACCATTTTGAGAACATCCCAAACAGTCTGGCCTTCTTGCTGCCCTTCCAGTACATCAACCCAGTGTCAGCCCCCATGTTAGGGCTGCCACCAAATGGACTGACTATTGAGCAATCAAGTCACAGAATGCGAGAACCAAATCTACCCAATCAGAGCGAGCCAGTGGAGACCAGTGAATCTGAAGTGTCCCTCTCACCATTTCGTAATGGTCAGAGCCCCAGTCGAGGAACAATGGGGACCTTACCTAACGCCATTGAACCTAAGATAGAACCCAACAGAGCTTCACCCATCTCTCCAACACCATCTTCACACCAGTCCCAGCAACCACAAACACCAACACAGCAACCACAGGGGCAGAAACAACAGCAATCAAGCACTCTGAACAACCACCAGATTCATCACCACTTTGAAAAGCATGAACAATCGAAAACCATTACACACTCTTCTTTCTCTTCCAAAATGCATCGCATGCGTCGTATGGGTGCAACCTCACGTAAGGGCCGTGTCTGCTGTAACTCCTGTGGCAAGACTTTCTATGATAAGGGTACTCTAAAGATCCACTACAATGCTGTGCATCTGAAGATTAAGCACCGATGTACTATCGAAGGCTGCAATATGGTCTTTAGTTCATTGAGAAGTCGTAACCGGCATAGCGCTAATCCCAATCCTCGTCTACATATGCCCATGCTAAGGAACAACCGGGACAAGGACCTAATTCGCTCCAGTTCTGGGACAGCAACACCTGTCATATCAAGTGCCAAAAGTGGCTTCAATCTAACTAGCCCTGGGCGACCACCACTAAGCTTTGCCACCCCTCCTCTTGACCCCATGATACAGTCACCCCTGCAGAGCCCTCTTGTTTTCCCTTCCCTGAAGTCTGTGCAGCCAGTGCAACCTGTGCCACCTTTTTATCGCGCACTGCTCTCTCCCACTGACCTAGTTAGTCCCCCAGTCTCTTTGCCCACCAGTCCAATTTTGCCTACCACAACCAACAGCACATCTCTGACAGACCAGCAACAGATGTTAACTGCTAGCTCCCACAACATGCATGTATCAGAAACATCAACGTTTTCTCATCGCCTACTCACAACTCCCAGTACCCAAGATTCTGTAACTGTCGACCCTATGCCTAAAAAGAAGCCTCGGAAATCTAGCATGCCAGTAAAGATAGAGAAAGAAATAATAGATGTGGCAGATGATTATGATGACAAAGATGATGATGATGATGAAGATAGTTGTCATCATCACCACCATCAGCCATCCAACATCCATAACAATGTCAATGGCAACTGCAACAACAACAATAACAGCAGCAGCAGCAGTCATCACTGTGGGGGTAGTGGACATCAGTCTCCATCACACGATGAAATGAGTCCCAGTCTAGCCCTTAGAGGCATGCTCCATCCTGACCAAGAAGAGTGCAGTGGGAGTCATGGCAGTAGAGGCCATGGCGACCTGCGCTGTATTGACAGCTTTACCTCTGAGGACCAAGATCATGAGCGTGATTTTGAAAATGAGTCAGAGACATCTGAATCCAAGATGCTCTACCGTGATGATCTGATGGACACTAACGTACATCAGCCTGCCCTAGACAGAAACCTGGGCAAGGAACATCAGGGGGAAGAAGATGAGGGACACCTACGGAAAGATTTGGAGGAACAAAGCCATTCCCCACCCTCCCAACACCAGCCTGTTATCAAAATCAAAGAGGAGATCAACGATCCTACTTATGACATGTTCTGCATGGGTCAATATAGCCTTTACAATGGGGGTATGGCAGCTGCCGCTGCCGCTGCTGCCAGCATGGCTGCCTTACATGAAAGTTTCATCTCCTCTATGAGCTATGAATCAAGCCCACCAAAATTCTCTTCTCAGTCCCCTGACGGTGATCTCTGTTCTAGTTCTGATCCCAAGATTTGCTACGTCTGCAAAAAGAGCTTTAAAAGTTCATACAGTGTCAAACTGCACTACAAAAATGTGCACCTAAAAGAGATGCATGTGTGTACTGTGGCTGGATGCAATGCTGCATTCCCCTCCCGACGGAGCAGAGATAGGTGAGACAAATAACCCTTTTTTTCCTCTATCAAAATCAAACAGATGTACACAGATGTAGATATGATAACTGGTAAACTTATAACAGGCCATTTAGACGTGAATATATTTTTTAAACAATAATGAAACAAAATTAGTTTAATTCACTACATTACACTATACTATACTATGTTATACTATACTATACTATACTATGCTATCCTATGCTATACTATACTGCATTGTACTGTACTATACTACTGTATACTATACTATACTATACTATACTACTATTTTTTAACAGTGCATAGTTTCAAATTATGTAAATTTAAAAGTAGTTCAGTCATGACCTCAATATGTATTTATTTATTTAAACATTTTAGAAAGTTGTGATATAACCTGTCTGAGGAACCTATTCAATCTTGAATCTTTATTGCTATTTGAAAGGGACAAAAAAAATTGTTTTAACGAGAAGAACGTGTTGATTGTACATTTCTGCAGATGCTTATTTAATGACTTAATGTGTTGTTTACCTATACTTGCTCACCTGTCACGTACAGGTAGACATGCATACATTAGCAGAGGTTGAAGCTTGTCAAACCACTGAATTCATTAGCGCATCAGGAGGTGCAGATTTCACTCACTGCTAGTTAACACATTTACCATTAACATTCCCAGAATACATTTATGCTAGAGGGCAAGCAAGAAACCTATCTTTACTCAAATGTAGACTCTCCATAGATATGCATGCATTTATTCCACTTTACTAGAAATTACAAATAAAAACGTCTCAGGTTACGTATGTAAACATGGTTCCTCGAGGGAACGAGACGCTGCGTCGGAAAATGCTTTGGGAATGACTTCTGTGACCATGCTCTGAATCACATGTGAAATCAGTCCAATAGCTGGGTGAGACGTCACGGGCGGGTGACGTCATGGACAGGAAGCTATAAAAGCACGTGTGGCGGAGCCGGCGTCAGCTTCAGGAGTGAAGCAAGGGATGGCAGAAGTATGGCAGCGTCTCGGTCCCTCTAGGAACCATGGTTAAATACGTAACCTGAGATGTTCCTCTTCAGGAACTCGAGCTGCGTCGGAAAACCCTTTGGGAACGAGAATGCCCACTCCGCCAGACTTGCAAATCCCTGCCTGGTGTGGAAGAGCACAACTAAGGCGAGAGAAAGGGGAGCCAGGAGTGGCTAAATTAGGCGGGGTCCGCCGTCCTGAAGGCCAACTTCTGGAGGAGTGAGCCTTGACCCCCAAAGGAGAGGGGAGATCAGAGGTCTTGAGGCTATGTAATAGCATCCTGATCCACCACTTGGCATAAGCTTCTCTGGCCAGAGGCCTCGGCCTCAGCGCACCGCGGAGGAAACATGTAAGAAGAGGGTGTCTTCCCAGTGAATGGCCACCACAAAGACCTCTAGGGTGGAGTGGGTCAACCCTGCAGATAAACAGGCCTGCAGGAACTCCAGAACTATACCAAATGGGCAGTTATCTAGGTCGGGCTGGCGGTCTCCGCAAAAGTACAGTTTCCTCATAGAGGGAGCTCTGGATGGTGAATGGTCTCAACAACCACAGTTGAGAGACCGGAAGTTATGAGTTGTGGCTCCTCAGAGGCCACACCCACAGCTTCTACAGCTCCGGGCGGGGGGCGCGCCCCTCTCCTGACGGGAATCTCCCATAGAGCGCCGTCGAGGAGAGAAATCAGGGCGGAGAACCATACTTAGCCAGAACAGGGCTACTAAGATCAGACGGGCTCTGTCCCGGCGCACTCTCTCCAGAACTCCCGGGAGCAGACCAATCGGAGGAAAGGCGTACAGACGAAGCCTCGGCAACGTCTGTACCATGGCATCCAGCCCCAGTGGAGCTGGATGAGTAAGAGAGAAGCAGAGGGGACAGTGCGATGTCATATGAGTTGCAACAGGTCCACCTAAGCCTGGCCAAACACTCTCCTTATCTGCTTCACCACCTCGGGGTGAAGCATCCATTCGCTGGGCCTCAGCCCCTGCCTCGACAGGATGTCTGCTCCCAAATTGAGATCCCCAGGAATGTGAACTGCTCTAGCGAGAGGAGTTCGCCCTGGGACCACACAAGGATCTGGTGCACCAGCTTGTAAAAGGGGCATGAACCCAGACCTTCTTGGTGGTTGATGTTAGAGACCACCACTGTGTTGTCAGTGCGCACCAACACATGGTGACCTCTTAGGTCTGGGAGAAAGTGTTTCAGAGCTCAAAACACGGCCCGCATCTCCAGACAATTGATATGCCACATCAGATGGCGACCACTCCACAGACCGCGGGCAGGGTGGCCACTCATGACCGCATCCCAACCTGTGAGGGACGCGTCCGTCGCTAGAATTACGCACTGGGCTCTGAGACAAGAACCAAGGTTTCCTCCACATGTCTAAGGCACGTAGGCACCTCCGCGTGACCGTGAGCATGCGAAGCGGGTTTCCCTTCGGGGAGAACCCCTTGGTCTTGAGCCACCACTGTAGGGGTCTCATGTACAGCAGGCCAAGAGTTATCACATTGGACGCAGCTGCCATCAGACCCAGCAGTCTGGAACTGCTTGACAGTGAGTGATCTACCTTTTCTTACTCTCGCAACTGTGGTGACGATCGACTCGATCCGAGCAGGAGACATACGTGCCTGCATCATGGTTTAATCCCACACCACGCCCAGATAAGTGGTTCTCTGTACTGGAGAAAGCACACTTTTCTTGGCGTCAAGTCTTCACCCCAGCTCTTTCGAGTGAGCGAGAATGACATCTCGATGTCGAACCGCCATCCGCTCTGATTGAGCTAATATCAACCAATCGTCGATGTGGTTGAGTCATGAAAGTGTGGGGTGAGAGTGCAAGGCCAAAGGAAGAAACCGGTATTGGTAGGCTTTTGCCCCCAAAAGCAAACCTCAGGAACTTCCTATGATGAGGAAGGATGGAGATCAATTGTGACACACCAGTCCTTGGACTTTGTCTGAGACACGACCTGTTTGAGTGCGAGCAACTTCAGTCGCATGACTGAGCGGTTCAATAGGCGCAGATCTAAAATGGGACGCAACCCCCATCCTTCTTCGGAACAATGAAGTACCGGCTGTAGAACCCGAAGTCTGTCTCATGAAGAGGGACCACCTCGATGGCCTCCTTCTTTAAGAGAGTAACTACTACTTGTTCTAATACCAGAGCCTGCTTGGGACCCACTAGAGTGGGGAAGCCCCTTTGAATCGAGGCGGACGAGAACCGAACTGGATTCTGTAGCCTTCAGTTCGGACCCATTGAGACACATTTGGAAGTAGCTTCCACGCTGCTAAATAATCTACTAAGGGAATCAGTCTCTCGAGACTGATCTCTGGTGTGCCCAGAACGGCTAGTTCGGTGCCCTGAAGCGGCACACCGGCAGGGGACAGCCAAACTAGCTGCTCTGGGGGCCTCCGCAGAGGCCACGAGCCTCTCAGTGCCACTACGTTGCTGGGCGGTAATTGAAAGAAGCGCTCGCTGGAGATCGCTGTGTTGGCAGAACGATCTCTCGAGGGCACTGGGGGCAAACGGGCACCGTGTAATGCGTTGTGAACCTCTCTTCCCCAGAGGGTCCTGCCCTCCGAGGTCCTGAGCCACAGCATCAGGACTGTCATAGCTGAAGTCTCCTATTGAAAACGACGTCCCTCAGACCCATGTTATCTGCTAGGAAGACTAGACCAGAGCCTGCTCGGGGCAGGACCCAATGAAGCACACTTGGCAGGGGCTCCCACACCGCCAGGTGACATCCTAAGGGAACTAGTCTCGCGAGACTGGCCTCTGGTGCGCCTAGAGCAGCTAGGCGGACCGGCAGGGGACGGCCGTACTAGCTGCTCTAGAGACCTCCGTTGAGGTAGCGAGCCTCTTAGTACCGCTACATTTCCGGGCGGTAACAGAGAAGTGCTCGCTGCGCCCTGGAACACGGCAGGGTTGGCAGACCGACCTCCTGAGGTCACTGAGGAGAGACATGCACCGTGTAATGCGGTGTACACCGCTCTTCCCCAGAGGAAGCTGGCCCTCAAAAAGTCCTAGGCCTTTAGGCATCAGGACGTTTACGACGAAGACTATCCAGCGAGAATGACGGTCCATAGACCCACCATCCACTAGAAGCCTTCGGGCTGGGAGCGCCACTCTGACTCTAGACTCTACGGAGTACGAGAAGTGAGGCCCCCAGAATGAGGGGCTGGAACACGGTAGGTTGTGACCGCCTCAACCTCCTCCTCAGAAGAGAGGTAAACGCGTGCTCTCACTCGAGAAAATTTTATCCCAAGAGCCCCTGTATATCTAACTTCTCATAGTCAGAAAAAATACTTCATTTTATTCCTCAGAATTAAATGCAATCAAACAACCAGACGAGTAAATACGGTCAGGTGTAGTAAGATTCACATCAAAAACTGAAATTATGTAATATATGCGTTGCCTCGGCAGCGCGCGAGCCGCTCAGTCACACAAACAACATCAATCTCCTCAGAGAAAGATGGCCGCAGCACTCACTCAGAGGGGGAAGAACCGCAGCGCGGGCTTCCAAGCCTCGAGAATGAGCTCTAGATCTAGGGAACACGGGTGGAGATAGGAAGTGCCGTCTCCAACCCGTCTGCTAGATCATGTGCGATCCCCGCGATCTCAGTCGCCGCCGTGCCTCAGCAGTCGCAATCGCAAGATCACAGGCACGGACACACTCCTCTGAGCATGCCCGGCGAGAGCAGAGGGCTTGAAAAAGAACGATCCGCCCCCAGAGAGCCGACTGTGCGAGCTCCGCTCCCTATTAATGCTGCTCATTATAATATCAGGCATAATATGCTTGTGTAACTGATGCTTGTGCAACTGCCGAGCTCTTTGACGCCCTCCGTATCAATCTCCTCGGAGGAAGACAGGCCCTCTCCCCGGTGGGAAGGTTCCATCACAAACTGAAAGAAAGAAAGAAAGAAAGAAAGAAAGAAAGAAAGAAAGAAAGAAAGAAAGAAAGAAAATCAGTCTGAACAGAGATGGCTTTAAAATCCAAATAGCAAATGCT